GCGCCAGTCCCCAGATCAGCCTAAGGAACAGCAAGGAGAAGAAAAGCCATCCAACAGAGGCACTAACAACAACGCACAGCACACAGGAAGAGGTGCCATGTACTGCTTATGCATTCATGAAACAATTTTCTAGCTTTGATAGTGAATTACAGCAGACCACAAAAAAACCCCAAAATAGTGCAAAATGCTACTGGTGAACTGCTTCCCTAACCCGAGCGACTAAAAGTTACCTACTTTCTCATATAACCATTGCCTTAAGTATTTGAGAAGCACCTCTGGGAGAAAAAGTATTTCCATTTTTTAAAGAAAACGAGTTTGTCTGAAAATAGATTGTCCATGGATCGTGAAAGAGCTGCGGCATTTCGGATGTAACCTTAAGAGACCAGTGTTAAATTACCTCCTGTCTAGGTAAAAAGGGAAACAAGGCCCTGGGAAAAGACACGGCAAAGAGAGGGGAGAAGAAGACTTGGTAAACTTGGAAACTCTCTACGAGCGGAACTACCCCTTGCTAGAAAGGCTGTCCTGTGAGATAGGTGTTACAGACTAAAAATAAAAGTGCTAGAAGTTCCCATCCCTTCTCAGGCACCAAGGTGCTGGCGGCACTTCGGTGCCTCCCTGGGGGCCAGCACAGCCGGGCCCTTCGTGGTCCCCAGGGAAGGCCACCGGCCGAGCCACGGCAGGAGCCCCGGGGCAGCAGGCAGGAGGAGGGTGGGCATCCAGCCAGCAGAAGACGTCCGATGGAGGGATTTAGGTCTTAAAATGAAGCAGTACACGCTGTTTTAAAAGCTGAAAGGGAGAATAGGGAAGATTTAAGAATGGTGGGAAAAGGAGAGAAAAGAAATGACTGCCCTTCTGTTGGAGTTCTTGGGAATACTTCACTCATTCTACGTAACTCATGTGCAATCTGAGGTGTGGACTGAAGGAAAAGCTATTCTCACTCCATCAGTGAGATTGCATCATTGCCTTGAAAACAGACCAGAATTCTTTCCCAGGAAACATGCACTGGGATTTATTAATTCTCTCCCAAACTCAGATTATCATGAAGTTTACACGGGTTAAACTGGCAAGAACATAATTTCTCATCTTCGAGAGCACAGGAGAGCTGTAAAGTGGGGATTTGTATGGAAAATTCAGCTGTGGTGGAACATGTGAAATTGTGCGTATCCACTATCCCTGGGAGGACTGGGAAGAGCCAAAGACTGGCAGGCAGCGAAGACAAAGCAGGGCAAATTCACACCTCCTGTTGTCCCCAGAAGTGCAGCGTCCCACACCGCAGCCTGTGGAACCGGCCGTGGGGAAGTGTGGCTTTGATGGAGCGATGCCCGTATGGGAGAGGTGACAGCCACCTCCTGGGAGCTGTGGGGGGCTGCAGGGGCACCCCTGGAGCCACCCTGCCTTGTTCCCCCATGGGGCAGAGACAGCCCTGGTGTCCATCTGCCTGGCCCCAGGGTCGCCCTGCAGAAGCTCTGCCCGTCACAGGCTGTGCAGAGCCAGGGGCACTTGGACTAACACCCTCTTACCCCTGGGAAGAAAAACCCTCCCCGTTCTTGCAGCGTCGCAGGTACACGGATCATTTCAGAGAGGAGCTGGGACACTCATCTCCTGCCTCACAGTGCCATATAGAGGGGTTTTATTTCCTTTTCTTTAGCTCACTTGGGCCAGGGTCAGCCAAAGTACAGCCTGCAGCTGCTCCCTCCTTTGATTATTGATGAGGATTAGGTTTTATTTTTTATATACAGCTCCGTAGGTGTGCAAGACATTTTACACAAATACACAAGGACAGGACTCTGAAGAGTTTAGACAGCCCAAACAAGTCACAGCACAGCTCGTGAAGACACAAATATGATTAAAGGCTTATTGATGTAAGCTCCATGTGTATTTTACTAGGTGGACAAAACGTAGGTTGCTTTGTGTGGCCTTTTTTCTGAAGGCAAAGGGTCATTTTTATGCATGACACTTCAACCTTTTGTTATAGCAATCTGTGGTTTCAAAGCCTAGCTTACAGGACTCCCATATCCAAGCTTGGCGAGGCGATTTGCTTCAAAAATAGCTTGTGAAAAGGTTCAATTCAGATTAGCACTTGGGAAATAAACATTATTGGGTAAAGGGCAGAAGATGGCCCTTTGCTCTTGCTCCAGAACAAAGCCTGTGTTCCTCCAGCTCTGCCTACAGGACTTAATAACAGCTGCAAGGATGAGGGACTACTTTCCCAAGCTTTCTAAGCCCTTTATTCTCCCAGGAGTAGTCCCAGGAGTCGGGCAAAAGAACAACAGGATTTGCCCCAAAACACAGAGAAATTGTGTCCTTGTACTTAAAACAAACAAACAAACAACAACCTGTAGTATGCTTTGTCCTGCTGTGTCACCTCTCTGCTGCTGGCACCTCCTTTAGGGTTACAGCTACATCCACTGCCTGTCACCCCATTTCTCACTCCGGTCCTTCCCTTCCGCTCCCAGCGATGAGGGTGAGGGCCAGAGGCAGCCTCGCACCACTCTCCGTGCACCTCAACGTGGGAAGACCTTCTGTAAACTTTTAAACGAGTCTTTGCCGAGTGGTTTCCTAACATCCCCTTGTCTGTCTTACTGCCTGCGCCTCCCCGTGACACTGCCTCAGAACAGGAATAAAGCGATCCCTCTCCTCATGCTCGAACAATGTGAGCGAGTTTGAGATGGCAATGTTTTATCTAGCTGTGATGTAAGCCAACTGCAATATGCTGTGAGTAGGTGTGTGTTGAAATGGGATAGGATGGGCAGGTGAGGTGGCTGTTCAAACACCCCGGGGGGTGCAGAGGCCCCGCAGCACTGATGGCAGCGGCACAGGGGGCTGGGGAGGTAACCAGGCTCCTCTTCGTGATGCTCCCCCGGGGGCTCGGGCTCAGAGACACAGCCCTGATTTCAGAGGTGGTAGGTAATGCCAGCTGGGAACAAAGCTCTGGAAAATAGGCTTACCGTGTCCTCTGTGTCCTCAGGGACACAAAGGAGGAGTTGTCACTTTCTAAAACTCCACCCTGAACTGTCCCCAGTTCGTACCAGTACATACCCCAGTAAGTGAAAGGAGGACAGTAAGTTTAAGCCTCTAATCTACCTTCCAAAGGGGACTTTAAGAGGCTTTGGGATAAGCATGCAGTCAAAACAAAATTTATGCTGAAGATGAAAAACCAGGTAAGGTTCAATAATGAGCAATTCTGCTGATGACTGGAGCATGGCTGCAGCTGACTGCAGGAAGACTGGAATGATGGAGACCAACACCAACCCTCATCGAGATAGTCCTCGGGACTCCAAGTGAGATGTGCCAAGGCCTGAGGCTTACAACAAGGAGAAGAGTCAACACAGGAAGATGGAGAACCAACTTGGCACACCTGAGACCCACGGCACAAGCAACACTCCCCATCAAAGAGCTCTAACATTACTGAGGAACGGTATTTGGAACCGGCTACCCAAGGGCTCCCAGATTTGACAATATAGCAGTATTCTGAGCCAATATGAAGCAATAGGTATCCAAGAGGATGGCTGTATCTAAAGAACACAACTGGCAGGACAGGACTTAGAGCCTTCACAGAGCTATCCCTGCAAGATACGCAGGGCTGTCCCTAATGGTTCAGCAAGACGCTCTCTGATTCCTGGAGCCTCTGAGTCAGCAATATTTACTGGAAAGGACGCAAAAACGGATGCCTCGAGTAAAAGCAAATCTACAAACCAGCCTTTCAGCTAGTGAAGAAGGGCACTGATTAATGAGCTGGCATACACAGGCAAACTTTTTATTCCATCAACTTTACAGGTTGGCTAAATGCCCCCAAAATTTTGCAAATCTTGATTGCTCCTAGGGGACTATCTCTGTCTGGTTAGTTTATTTGTTTGTACGTACATTCGGTAACTAAGGTCAAAAGTTTTATAGCAGCAACTGTCTCTGAACTGTTACTTGGCTTTGATTTTTCAGCTATGGCACTGAGAATTTTATGCAATGTTGTTAATAATAGAAATGCACTTTGTTTTAATTTTAACTAATTATAGATTTGCCTGATGCAGTATTTCATATGCATGGGTAAAAGGTAATTGTTATACCCTTATAAAATCTAAAGATTAAATTCTGCTTTTTAATTACAGAGATTTCACTGGCGCTGCAGAGGATTCAGTTATATCAGAATTCATCTACAATAATGGTTTAGCCAGGAGATAAGGGAAATTACCTGTTACCTGATGTTAGATCAAACATCCTCTACAACCTCTAGAGATGACTGCCCTGACAGCACCACGGCGGAGTCTGAACAAAGGCGACTGATTCCAGGCTGCAAAATTCACCTCACCAAATGTGACCCGTGCAAGTCCTGTGCAACCCAGCACCAGCCCCTGCACTTACACGTTCAAAGCCATTCTTATTCCACCTGATCTCCAGCCCCATTCACAGCATTTGAGAAAACTTGCACAAAAGAGTTCTATTCACACCAGTTTTAAAGAAACATCCAATCACGACATTTCCACCTCCTTTAATTTTCTAAAGCAAGCGTTTGTAGGCCAATAAAATCATTTGGTATCATCATTCACTTTAGAGTTAGATGCATACACAGAGCAAATACTGTCCACAAAACCCAGGAGCAGAGATGATGCCACCTATTTAGGTGACCCTTCCTTTACAAATCTTAATAGAAGCAGCAGAAGTCTGAAGACTGCCTACTTGGTCTTTTGTGGCTAACGTCCACAAATAACCCTATGAAATAACATCTGCAGAAAGTGGGAGTTCCACGAACACAAAAGTAGCTAAACTCACTGTGCAAGCAATCTGCAGTTAGCAATACTGCAGGCTTACTGACAGGCAGCTTTATTTAAAGTTTCCATCGATAAGCTGAGAGGAAGGAACATAGTCTTAAGGAGTGAAGAAAGCAGACGTTTTCACCTTTAATATAAACTGCAAAAAGAAGCACCACCACAAGCATCCACAACAAAGGGCCCCTCTGGGCATGATGCCACCATCACCACTGCTTTCCATTATCAGTGTATACTCACAAGAATTACGATGTTCAGGTTCCATTTTGAACTCCCGTTCATCAGTGTATAAACTTGTCTTTTTTCATTTTCTTCAAACTGAAATTTGGCAGAGGAGTGCTGGTGGGTGGGGAGTTTTTGGAAAGATTATTATTTTTAAAATTTGGTCTTTTCAAACTGTTCTAAATACAGCAGTGGGGAATATGCCCTGAGGAGCAATGCTGTTGCACGTCTCTCAGGGGAGGGGTACTGACAATTAGATATTGTCAGTCTCTTATTCAGTGCAAGAGGAAAACAAGCGTTGGCGTTTCAGGCCAGCTCAGGGAAGGCCTGTGGCCCAGCAGAAACGATGATTTCAGGGTGATGCTGAGGGGCAGGAGGCGGGAAGCTGTCCATCAAGGGCTCCCAAGGGTGGTCCGCAGCCCTCTTGCAACACACACGGCTTTTGTATGTGGCCTGAAGAGGACCCGGGGGTTGTGGCTGTCCTCCACAGAACCAGCTGATCGTCAAGGCTGCGGCAGCCGTAGGGTCTCCTACAGCAGCTGTGGGACGGGTGAACGTCTGGGCACTGGGATCCGTCAGCCTCCGAAAGCCTGGCCGAGCCTCCCCTCCGGAGCAGGCAGGCGTTCTGGCAGGTCTCACAGCTGTGTATTTCAGACCCCTGGCTATTTCTCCAGCCCTTCCCATTACTCCACATGACAGCAAGAATCCTGTGCAAGAGCTGGCTCAGGGGTGCAATATTTCCAGAACCAAGATGAATTTCTGCTGTCTGTGTACAGCCCGACTTGGGGAGTCAGAGCTGAGCACAGACGGGGACTGCACCCAGGGGCCACAGGGACAGACAGACCCCGTCTCTAGGAGACGCGCTCCAGAGGGAACAGCAGAAGCTAAATCTGAGAGAGGAAGAGGGGGATAAGGAGTGATAACCAACAGCAGAGCTGTGGCAGCCGAAACACCAATTTGCAACACTAATCCCCGAGCACTAGAATGCCCCCATCTCACATCCTCACACACCAGCACATCACCCGCCTCATCCGCCACAGAACCCCAGAAACCCCAAACAAGCCCCCTTAGAAGAGCTTGGGAACGTGGTCTAGAAACAATGACCTCCCCTTATTTACACGGATCCCAGCTCCCCTGCAAATCCTGTTTCTTCACTTTTTCTCATTTTTATGCCTTCCTGCACCATAGTCGCCAGAAGGATGCTGTAGATAATGTCAAAAGCAGTGAAAGTGCTTGCCAAGGGGCAAACACAGGGAAAAATGGGCTGTTGTGAAGAGCTGGACACACTTAGTTACGTTCTACAAGACCTCAGCCTTGCCTGAACGTTGCAGGGTGCTGTGATGGCCTTAATTCCTTTCGCCTAATGGAAATGTTCCAGGCCAACTGGAAAAAATGGCCTTTGGATCAGGCTCTTACCCGTAGTCTCTACACTTGCCAAACCCCAAAGTGTTCGTTCAGCTCCAGCCTGGAAAGATGCCAGAGACCTAGAGCTAACCACAAGAGAGAGGGGCTCAAAATTCATGACAGAAATTTTGAAGAACTTCTTCATTTCCAAAGATTTTAAAGAATTACGTATAAACGGATCTTTGTGTACATTTGTGATTATTTGGGTTGGATTACAGGGGAATTCCTAATGCACACTTATTGCTATCCATTGTAAGGTACCTTCCATCCATCCTGTTCTAAATAAATATTCAAATCACGCACAAATTGAAATGTTGGCAGCTGATCCTTTCAGCCCTGAGAAAACGTGACCATTCCACACCTGCTTGTATCTCACTGGATTCAGGGGGGTCACTCATTCACATTTGCAGGCCTGATTTATTTGTGTGCCATTTCATAGCGCGTTTAATTTATCAGCTACATGGCAAATATGATACAATTACCTAACGAGAATATGTAAAAAGTAGGGTATGACATGCAGCTCTATCTTTATTTCCTCCTGTGCTTCTTAGAAACTAATGCGATTACAAAGCCATTTTGATGAAGACGCTTTCGCTGACTCCTTCACACAAGAAGTTACTGGCAGGCTCTTATCTGATCCATCAGAAGAGCGTTCCTGGAAACAGGACAGTCCGTGGCTAGAGATAACACATTGTGGAATCTTCTGCACCTGCAGGGCTGCAGCATCCGCCCCCTTGGTCACGTGTAAGTCATGGCCATAAGAGATAGTCATTTCTGTCTCCACGCAGAGCTCCCCCACGCACGCTCCGTCCCGCAGAGCAGAAGTGGCAGCAGCAGCAGTTTCCAGCTGTGCAAACAGCATGAAACCCTTGAGGAGCCTGCTTTGGAGCTAGATGCCCTCCAGTCACTTGCTGTGGAAATGTGTTCGTGTAAGCCCATGAGGAGGAGGAGGAAACCTGTCCATTTATGGACCTGTACTCCCCCCATGGAAACCAAACAGCACCCACAGCTGATACCCCGAGGAGGCAGGTTCTGCGCTGGCACCAAGAGCTCACCAGTGACAGTCATTCCCATTTCAAATTCCTGACAACCATTTACTGCATTATGTTATTATTGGGAACCTGCACTAGGTATGATTTATTTTACAATATCCAAAGAGGAGCTGCTTAAAATTCTAGGAAAAACGTACCTTCTGTGTCCCTTCCCGCTGCCCATCTCTCCTTCCCTATTTCCAGCACACAGATGGCACAAGTCTTTCACAGTGGCTTCTAGGATCACCAAACTTTAGCTGAAGAAATCAGTGCTTTTAGTATATAATTGTCCAGGGTGGTAAGTGTCACAAAGTGTGCCATAATAGGGATGAGGCCACGGCTCACCATCTGCTGCCCTTACCCACCCAACTTCACCTGGATCACACTGGCCCCGGTGCCCCTGCCCTGTGGAAATGGCAGATCATGTCCCCCGGCAGCTCCGCTCCCAACCCGACCCCAAGTCAGGTGAGAACAGGAGACAGGGGCCAAGCAGAGAGAGTTCTGCATAGCTGCTCCCTAGTCACAGGCCAGCATCCAACGTGACACTCAGAGCCCATTTAAACCTTTATTTTTAAAAGGTAGGGAAACGATGTGACAATTTCTTTAAATCTGGGCAAAAAGAAATCACTCCCTGAATTATAATTTTGCTCTGCTCCGAGGGCTGCCACCCTGCTGGTTTAGCTATGTGGAAAGTCAGAGCCCTCCTTCTGTTCTAACATTTATTTTCTGCATCCTCGTTTTATTTTTAACAGCTTAGAAAGAAAGAAACACGTTATCGCATGACTGTCTAAAGCAAATAGTACATTGTGGTTTTGGGCTCGGACACTTGATCGTGTAACTTCCCAGCAACAAGCACTGTTCTCTCCGTAGGGCACTTCTGGTAACTCGCCTCTCCCAGCGCGCAGTAAGGAAAACTGTCACCTAGCGAGCGAAACAGCCACTTCTGCCTGCCCTCCCGGCTGAGAAAAAGCAGAAGAATGACACCAGGCTGCAACTATTATACAAGACATAACGCCGCTCAGAAAGCAGCAGCTGATTAACACCAGCGCCGGGCCTCGGACCTGCGGGCCGTGCTCCCGAGCCGCTGGAGGCTGCTCTGTGCCCCCGGCCGGGGCTCTGCTCGGCCCCGCGCCCCCACCTCCCAGCCTGGGAAAGGAGGGTGCTGCGGTTTATTTTTAAGCATTTCAGCAACTGACATACTGTACCTCAACTCCTTAAATGGTTACATCATTTTCACTGCTACGAAAAGTTCACTAAAACAGCATTTCAAAATCCCTCTCTATGTATTGTACTTTCTGTTCTCAGCTCTGGCTGTGGTTTGACTTCTGGCATCTGGAGTTCAGGCTACTGTGGCTGTGACTTCAGACAGCGATCGCTAATGAACACCCATCTTCTAATGATCTGAATGGGCTGCGTAATCAATGGAAACACAACCCATGCAGCTTTACACAATGGTCTGTACTTCACCTGTTTAGGTCCTGCTTATCAGTGGCTACTCCTCTGAGAATATTATTAAGACCCTGCAAAAGTACAAGCACCTTTTTCAGGTGCTTCATTCATTCCAACCTCTTAAGAGAAATTTCTGGACCCAGATTGACAGAAAATGTGCATGTATGTTAAAAACAAAATTAAAACATTTTTAAGAAAAAACTGTAGCTTCCGTCCTTGTGAAAGACACCACACAGCCACATTCAGCCCTTGTGCTATAAGTTGATTATTGCCTGTTTAGGCAGCAGCTGATAGATCTGGGTTTGTTACCAAAAATGACCAGAACCTGGCAAATTATTTTGGTGACAAGAGTATCTTCTGCATAGATTGCCCTGCCAATAACATGGGCTTTCTTAACTATATTTGATCTTAAATATATTCATGTTGGAAACTCATCAAATATACCTGTTTTCTCCCTTCTGAGTTTTGCCATATTTTCTGAGTTTGCTGCTGCGAAACTGCAATCACCGGGCTCTAGAGCAGGGGAGGGCAGTGGTCACAGACTGCCAGAAGAGAGAGTGGCAAAGGGAGGAGGAAGAGATTATTATAACATGTACAGAGAGAAATTATGGCCAGGACAACCAGGGGATCAGGCCTAGTCAGCATGGGTTTATGAAAGGCAGGCCATGCCTGACAAACCTGATCTCTTTCTATGACAAGATGACCCGATTATTGGATGAGGGAAAGGCTGTGGATACTGTATACCTGAACTTTTGAAAAGCATTCGATACTGTCCCCCATAGAATTCTTGTGGAAAAGCTGGCTGCACATGGCCTGGATGAGCATACAATCTGCTGGATCAAGCACTGGCTGGCTGGAAGGTCCCAAAGAGTGATGCTCAAAGGATTTAAATCCAGCTGGCGGCCGGTCACAAGTGGTGTGCCTCAGGGCTCAGTGTTGGGACCATTTCTGTTTAACATCTTTATTGACGATCTTGATAAGGACATAGGGTGTATCATCAGCAAGTTCGCAGATGACACCAAGTTAAGCAGGAGTGTTGATTCACATGAGGATAGGGAAGCTCTACAGAGAGACTTAGATAGATTGGATCATTGGGCCAACATTAATGGCATGAGCTTTACTCTTGTAAAGTTAGCCCAGAATTACCAGAAGCTGAGAAATATCACAATGACCTTGCGCATGCTTTAACAAGCGTAAGTCTAGGGGACGTTCAGCAGGCAGGATACTAAGACAGCCCCCACAGATAGGTACACTCACCACAGACGGGCAGAACAACTCATATCG